CTTCCTCCCGAAGCTGAAAACGCACGCTGCCGGACAGGAAAACACAGTGGCCCTGAAGGACGGAACGGCGCCAAAAGCGAGCCCAAAAACTGCCTAACGTCCCTTCTGAAACCCTAGGAAAACAATAGTTTTCGACAATTTTTTGTACCGCTGTTTGTACAATGAGACATAGTGAGACATAGAACCCTCCTGCTGCTCCTGTTGCTGCTGCTGCTCTTCCTCCCGAAGCTGAAAACGCACGCTGCCGGACAGGGAAACACAGTGGCCCTGAAGGACGGAACAGCGCCAAAATCGAACCCAAAAACTGCCTAACGGCCCTTCTGAAACCCTAGAAAAACAATAGTTTTCGACCATTTTTTGTACCGCTGTTTGCACAATGAGACATAGTGAGACATAGAACCCTCCTGCTGCTCCTGTCGCTGCTGCTGCTCTTCCTCCCGAAGCTGAGAACGGACGCTGCCGGACAGGGAAACACAGTGGCCCTGAAGGACGGAACAGCGCCAAAATCGAGCCCAAAAACTGCCTAACGTCCCTTCTGAAACCCTAGAAAAACAATAGTTTTCGACAATTTTTTTGTACCGCTGTTTGTACAATGAGACATAGTGAGACATAGAACCCTCCTGCTGCTCCTGTTGCTGCTGCTGCTCTTCCTCCCGAAGCTGAGAACGGACGCTGCCGGACAGGGAAACACAGTGGCCCTGAAGGACGGAACAGTGCCAAAATCGAACCCAAAAACTGCCTAACGTCCCTTCTGAACCCGAAGAAAAACCATAGTTTTTCGACCATTTTTTTTTGTACCGCTGTTTGTACAATTAGACATAAGTGAGACTAGAACCCTCCTGCTGCTCCTGTTGCTGCTGCTTGCTGCTCTTCCTCCCTAAGAGCTGGCAAAACTCCCGCTGGGCCTGACAGGGAAACACAGTGGCCCCTAGAAGGACGGAACAGCGCCAAATATCTAGCTCCCAAAAACTGCCTAAGTCCCTTCTGAAAACCGCTCGAAAAACAATAGTTTTTCGACCAGTTTTTTGTACCGCTGTTTGTACAATGAGACATAGTGAGACATAGAGCCCTCCTGCTGCTCCTGTTGCTGCTGCTGCTCTTCCTCCCGAAGCTGAGAACGCACGCTGCCGGACAGGGAAACACAGTGGCCCTGAAGGACGGAACGGCGCCAAAATCGAGCCCCAAAACTGCCTAACGTCCCTTCTGAAACCCTAGAAAAACAATAGTTTTCGACCAGTTTTTGTACCGCTGTTTGCACAATGAGACATAGTGAGACATAGAACCCTCCTGCTGCTCCTGTTGCTGCTGCTGCTCTTCCTCCCGAAGCTGAGAACGGACGCTGCCGGACAGGGAAACACATTGGCCCTGAAGGACGGAACAGCGCCAAAATCGAGCCCAAAAACTGCCTAACGTCCCTTCTGAAACCCTAGAAAAACAATAACACAATAGTTTTCGACCATTTTTTGTACCGCTGTTTGTACAATGAAACATAGTGAGACATAGAACCCTCCTGCTGCTCCTGTTGCTGCTGCTGCTCTTCCTCCCGAAGCTGAAAACGCACGCTGCCGGACAGGGAAACACAGTGGCCCTGAAAGACGGAACGGCGCCAAAATCGAACCCAAAAACTGCCTAACGTCCCTTCTGAAACCCTAGAAAAACAAAGGTTTTCGACCATTTTTGGTACCGCTGTTTGTACAATGAGATATAGTGAGACATAGAACCCTCCTGCTGCTCCTGTTGCTGCTGCTGCTCTTCCTCCCGAAGCTGAAAACGCACGCTGCCGGACAGGGAAACACAGTGGCCCTGAAGGACGGAACAGCGCCAAAATCGAACCCAAAAACTGCCTAACGTCCCTTCTGAAACCCTAGAAAAACAATAGGTTTCGACCATTTTTTGTGTTTTTTTTGTACCGCTGTTTGTACAATGAGACATAGTGAGACATAGAACCCTCCTGCTGCTCCTGTTGCTGCTGCTGCTCTTCCTCCCGAAGCTGAAAACGCACCCTGCCGAAAAACAATAGTTTCCGACCAGTTTTTGTACCGCTGTTTGTACAATGAGACATAGTGAGACATAGAACCCTCCTGCTGCTCCTGTTGCTGCTGCTGCTCTTCCTCCCGAAGCTGAAAACGCACGCTGCCGGACAGGGAAACACAGTGGCCCTGAAGGACGGAACGGCGCCAAAATCGAGCCCAAAAACTGCCTAACGTCCCTTCTGAAACCCTAGAAAAACAATAGTTTTCGACCATTTTTTGTACCGCTGTTTGTACAATGAGACATAGTGAGACATAGAACCCTCCTGCTGCTCCTGTTGCTGCTGCTGCTCTTCCTCCCGAAGCTGAAAACGCACGCTGCCGGACAGGGAAACACAGTGGCCCTGAAGGACGGCCTGCGGGCAACGGCTCCACAACAAACTCCTAGCGAGCGGTTGCGAAACAACAGCCTCCAAGGCGAGAAACCAACAGCCAGACATCTTTTTCGAAACTCGTAGTCGTAGCCGTAGTCGTACTCGTAGTCCTAGTAGTAGTAGTAGTAGTAGTAGTAGTAGTGGTAGTAGTGGTAGTAGTAGTAGTAGTAGTAGTCCGACAAGGGTCAAATGTCTTATTCCCTGGCGCGCTCCCCCTTGCGTCTGCCGGGGTCGGCGGATATAGGCATCTATGAAATCAATGTATCCGGATATCTGTGTGCATACGCACAGGTGATACCTGTCTAGTGTATATTATGTATATCATCATCATCATCATCATCATCACCACCATCGACATATAGGTATATTTGTATATATTTATCTATATCTGCATACAACTATATCTATATCTACATCGAATGTCAAAATCTAATATCACTATAAATATCTAATATCAATATCTATATCTGTATGTATTTGCATATCTATATCTATATCAATGTCAATGTATACATAGTATCACTATCAATATCAATATCAATATGCGTTTCTGTTTGTGTATATGTATGTGTATCTGCATCTGTATTTGTATATGTATATATGTCTGTATGTGTATATGCGTATATGTGTATATGTGTCTATGTCTGTAAGTGTGTATGTGTGTGTATGTGTGGGTGTATGCGTGCATGGATAAATATGTGCATATATATATATATATGTACACGTATATGTGTATATATGTATCTAGATGTATATAAACTACATAATACCGGATCAGATATGCACATACATGTTTATATATATATATGTATACATACATGTACAATACCTGTGCCTTTGAAAGCGCATTGCCTTAGGAACCAACGGTTCCGTGCAGGAGACTTCGGCCGGGGCTTGGCTTGAGATCGGTGAACGATCTGCAGGACTGGCCATGGAAGTAAAACTTGGGATGGTCACAGTTAAGTTCAATCTAGTGACAGCTGGGGACACCAGCACTACAGGCAAACTAGATGTTTCAATGCAGATCCCTACACTGCCATAGCCAGCAGAAAAAGGTGATGTCGTCATTCACTGGGGCTGGTGCATCCCGTTCGAGGACAGCACCAAACTGTTGAATGCGCTGACTGTCACAACTGGTCAACTTACCATAGGCTGCCAGAGCTCGAGTGGGAGGAATTCTTGTGAAGCAACCAATAAAAACATCAATGCACCATGGGAATTAGGGAGGGGTCGATTGCAGCCATGATCACCCAGATAGCCAATGATAGCCAATGATCATCCTGATCCTGACGGTACAGCGCCAAATCTTCGAAGCGGCTAGGCTTCACCAGCCCATCACTGGAGACAGTGTGTTGACCTCAGTAGGATGACTATGGTCACCAGGCGCACGAATCCGTTCACCGTGCAACAAATGACACTGGAGGGAGTTTGTGGATCTAAGGGTGATATCAACCCTTGAAGATATCAGCTCGTGAATATCAAAGAACGGACAACCAAATCTATCTCTCTCTCTCTCTACATTAATGAATTGGTTCAAGGGAAAATCTACAGGAAACCACGGTTTTTCCCATGCAATCTGGGGGGTTCTTGTAAATTTCCCTTAAACCAATCCATTGAATACCACAAAATCACAAAGCCTCTGATCCCTCCATTGCAGATGGGACCGTCATGTTATGCTTTGCGGAGGTGCGATAACACTCCCACTGGCTATCTGTGCTACATTGCTGTTCGATCATCAAATGCTTGCTGTCAGCTATAAAAACAAATGATGAAGAAACATGGGGGTTACAGTATGCCGTATACGCCGTATATCCCATGGTATGGTCATTTTCATCGGTAAACATGAAGATTTTCTCCCTACTCAAAAGTGGTCAGAGGTGCCCCTCCTTTTTGGAGACAGCTCGGCCGAGGACACTTCGGAGGAAGCAACTCGGTGAGTCCTGGGGTATCAGAGTGGTACCCTCCCAACAGGCTGGGCTGAGTCTCATCAGGCTGATGTTGGAATTTTCATTGGAATCGGGATGGGATAACCAATACTTCTGTATACGACCATGGGTCAGACTTAGGATTAGGCCCCCCAAATGGGAGGATTTCTGAGGGTATACCTAATAGTAATAACAATAACAATAGTAACAGTGATAATAGTAATAATGATAATGACAATAATGATAATAATAACAACAGCAATAACAATAAAAGGACCGGATAACCCCACATGTTACCAACTTCTTTAGCTTTAGACTGAGCATAGAAAAGCAAGAAGGGAAGAGGAAGTATAAGAGTGAATGTTCATGTACAGTGAGTGAGTGAGTGAGTGAGTGAGTATGGGAGCGAGGGAGTGAGCGAGTGAGGGAGTGAGTGAGTGAGTGAGTGAGTGGGTGAGTGAGTGAGTGAGTGAGTGAGTGAGTGTGAGATGAGATGAGATGAGTGAGGAGGTGAGTCCCACGCCTGCCACGCAAAAGAGGCGGAGCCCCTATGCAGTGCACGTTGTCCCACGCCTGCCACGCAAAAGCGGCGGAGACCAAGGGACACCGGAGGGACGCCAGGGCGTACATCCGACCCCTTGGCAGCGCACGTTGTCCCACGCTTGCCACGCAAAAGCGGCGGAGACCAAGGGACACCGGAGGGACGCCAGGGCGTACATCCGACCCCTTGGCAGTGCACGTTGTCCCACGCCTGCCACGCAAAAGAGGCGGAGACCAAGGGACACCGGAGGGACGCCAGGGCGTACATCCGACCCCTTGGCAGTGCACGTTGTCCCACGCCTGCCACGCAAAAGCGGCGGAGACCAAGGGACACCGGCGGGACGCCAGGGCGTACATCCGACCCCTTGGCAGTGCACGTTGTCCCACGCCTGCCACGCAAAAGCGGCGGAGACCAAGGGACACCGGAGGAGCCAGGGCGTACATCCGACCCCTTGGCAGTGCACGTTGTCCCACGCCTGCCACGCAAAAGAGGCGGAGACCAAGGGACCCGGAGGGACACCGGAGGGACGCCAGGGCGTACATCCGACCCCTTGGCAGTGCACGGTTGTCCCACGCCTGCCACGCAAAAGCGGCGGAGACCAAGGGACACCGGAGGGACGCCAGGGCGTACATCCGACCCCTTGGCAGTGCACATTGTTCCACACCTGCCACGCAAAAGCGGCGGAGACCAAGCAGGGACACCGCCAGGGACGGAACCGGAGGGACGGGGCCAGGGCGTACATCCGACCCCTTGGCAGTGCACATTGTCCCACGCCTGCCACGCAAAAGCGGCGGAGACCAAGGGACACCGGAGGGACGCCAGGGCGTACATCCGACCCCTTGGCAGTGCACGTTGTCCCACGCCTGCCACGCAAAAGCGGCGGAGACCAAGGGACACCGGAGGGACGCCAGGGCGTACATCCGACCCCTTGGCAGTGCACGTTGTCCCACGCCTGCCACGCAAAAGCGGCGGAGACCAAGGGACACCGGAGGGACGCCAGGGCGTACATCCGACCCCTTGGCAGTGCACATTGTCCCACGCCTGCCACGCAAAAGCGGCGGAGACCAAGGGACACCGGAGGGACGCCAGGGCGTACATCCGACCCCTTGGCAGTGCACGTTGTCCCACGCCTGCCACGCAAAAGAGGCGGAGACCAAGGGACACTGGAGGGACGCCAGGGCGTACATCCGACCCCTTGGCAGTGCACGTTGTCCCACGCCTGCCACGCAAAAGCGGCGGAGACCAAGGGACACCGGAGGGACGCCAGGGCGTACATCCGACCCCTTGGCAGTGCACATTGTCCCACGCCTGCCACGCAAAAGCGGCGGAGACCAAGGGACACCGGAGGGACGCCAGGGCGTACATCCGACCCCTTGGCAGTGCACATTGTCCCCCGCCTGCCACGAAAAAGCGGCGGAGACCAAGGGACACCGGAGGGACGCCAGGGCGTACATCCGACCCCTTGGCAGTGCACGTTGTCCCACGCCTGCCACGCAAAGCGGCGGAGACCAAGGGACACCGGAGGGACGCCAGGGCGTACATCCGACCCCTTGGCAGTGCACATTGTCCCACGCCTGCCACGCAAAAGAGGCGGAGCCCCCCTGCGAGTGAGTGAGTGAGTGAGTGAGTGGAGTGAGTGAGTGAGTGAGGGAGTGAGTGAGTGAGATGAGATGAGATGAGTGAGGAGGTGAGTGAGTGATGAGTGAGTGAGTGTGAGATGAGATGAGACGAGTGAGGAGGTGAGTGAGTGAGTGAGTGAGTGAGTGAGTGAGGGAGGGAGGGAGGGAGGGAGTGAGTGAGTGAGATGAGATGAGATGAGATGAGATGAGATGAGATGAGATGAGATGAGTGAGGAGGTGAGTGAGTGATGAGTGAGTGAGTGTGAGATGAGATGAGATGAGTGAGGCGAGGCGGCGGGAGGAGGAGCGGATACAGAACTAAAAACAAAAACCCCACACGTCAATGTGGGGAATAATTATTGTTCTGGCTGTTGTGATTAAGAATATTACTCATGATGACAACATGAATAAATAATTCAATAAATAATAACAATGACAATGATAACAATAAACAAGATAACAATAATCATTAATTTCATAATGATGATAATACTAATGATGATGAAAATAGTAATAATGATATTAACTATTAACTAACAACAGTAATAATCATAGTGGTAATGGGCAAAGTGGATTTTCTTTGCCTTGAAATTTAGACTCTCAAACAGAAAACATCATCCAACCCGCAAGTGTCCAGCGATCTCGTGAGGCAGGGCTCTATGTGCAATACTGCGAGGGGATTGCAGACCAGTGTGGCCTGCAGGCTCGCAACGGTATCGATTTGGGCGCGGATCTCGAGGCTTGAAATGGATGAAGGACTGGTGGTGATGGAGGGTTGATGGTTTGACTTCCTATCAAGTGAGGGTTGATGCTTCAGGAACATACCGTCATAGCCGCCAAGGCCTTTCTGCCAGATCGTATGCACTGAATTGGTACAATCCCCTGTGGCGATGGCTCAAAAACTCTTGACCCTCAACAATTGGAAGGTGGCATGTAAACACATCATCAACATATGAATGTACATGCACACACACACACACACCCCATTTTTTTCACGAGAAGACTCACCCACTTGGAGCCCCCAAAGTTGCCCCACCCGTGATTCTTCCTCCGGCAGGCAGGAGTGCACATTTGCAGCGTCAATGGCCTAATGGATACGGAGAAACAAATGGAGGCCCGTCCGCAATCGTTGGACTTGACCGAAGGTGTGAGGATGATGGGATAGAATGGATAGAATGGATAGGATGGATAGAATGGATAGAATGGATAGAATGGATAGAATGGATAGATACGCCTAAATCGATGAGAATCCAATTATGATCCATGATGTGGGAGGATGCAGCTTCGATATGTTTGTGTGATTTCCGACTCGGAGACAAAACCATAATTGAATGGCAGCCAATGCAACTTTCTTGGAGCACAGAATTTGGCGGTTGAACAGAACTTTCTGCCAGGAGCTGGAGGGTGCGATGACGTGCTCGGCTGAAACAAAGGGGATGTCAGATGTTGCTGAAATTCATGGGGATCGGGATGATTGGGGTGCCATTTGGGTTTGTGTATTTTTCTAAATCTCAAATTTGGATTTGAAACACCAAAATCTGTTGCATTTTGAGGGAGACGCAAACTCTGTTGAACACACAAGGTTTCTGGTCATGCACTGGAAACGAGGACAGGCTTTGCGAATCAAATAGTATCAAATAGTCATAGCTGGGTAGGACTAAGGTTTGCAGCAAAGTGAGGAGACATACCCAGGATCATTTTCACCCATATTCGCAGGTGACTAAAAGTTGCTATCATCCAAGGATTGCGAGTTGTCTTCCTGAGGTTAACTCTGCGAGTTGCATCCTTTATTGAACCGGTCTTGCGAGTTGTGACCTTCGTCTGACCGTTTCGCTGGCCGGGATGGCGCGCCGCGTCCGTCAGATAATGCGCTTCAAGTGGGCGGCCCGAATGGGCACCCCAGTCTGCCCTGTTTCTGCAGAGTTTCATAGTTTTGGAAAACTTAGCAGTGCAGTGCCTTTGATTTTTGGGGCATCAGCCAATGGAGGTATCGCTTTCAGAGTTTTTCTTTTCCATTTGGTTGACCAAGGATGGTACCACCTGCATGGCTGTGTGCCCCTGAGTTTCACCGAAGTACACTAAGGCAGGTTACTCTGCCCCTCGTAGAAATGCCAGTACCCAGCGAGATCCGGCGGCGGTGAAAGAAATGTGTTTCTGGTCAGTGACAGGAGGTCGAAGCAGCTGCAGCTTGTCGATGGTCGCAGCATTTTCATTCATTTTCATCCATTTTCATTCATTTTTCATCCATTTTTCATCCATTTTCTACAGTTTTTTTCAATTTGAAGATGGTCTGTGACAGAAATTGGCACTCCCAAACCTCCGGTACCAAGCCATGACTGTGATGTGGCTCCCAAACTTTGGCAGAGCTGCGGGAGAGCCAAGAAATGGGTGGAAATGAAGGTACCCGGGATTCTACAACAATGTGGGAATCAAAGTCACCAACAAGAAATTATCACATTTTTCGTGTGAATGTGCCAGAGATGATGCATATTTTTTAATGAAACCATCCATCAACGGGAATTTTCTGCACCGGGGCCCACGTTGCCCCAGTGGGCCCCGGATCTTTGGGCCCCGTGTGGGCCCCGGAATCCGCATGGCTGACGACGAGTGCCGTCGAGTCGCACTTCCACACAGGCCATGGGGAGCTTCCCATGAAGATGAATGGGGTATTAAGGGCTTAAATATGACCAATACCACCGGGTGAATTAGATAAACATGATAAACCCACGTCAAATATCATCAACTGTTAGGCGCTGACTAAGCCGTCATTGTTGTGGGGGTACCAGTCAGGGGTCCTAATGTGATTAATGGGATAAACCCAAGCCATAAACCTCCAAAAGTTGATGGGAAACAATTTCACCCGTGTCTGATATTCGTAAGTCATGAGGAATGGTTGATAACTAAAGAAGACCATGAAGCTTGCGGTTCAAATTTGGACCCCAGACTGTCATGACATCCAGCGTTGGCAGGTTCAAAGGTTCCAAAATTTGTTTATGTTTTGATACATATTTGATAATTTTGATACGATTTAGATATTAGTTTCAATATAATATGATCTTTCAATTTCAATACAGATTCAACGTGGTTTTCAATATTGCCATGGAATTTCGGGTATGGTTTTCAATATCATTCTCCAAACCAGGTGCAATTTCCATACCATTCACTTGACCTATTTGAACTATTTTGGAACTGCCCCTACCGGCACCGTTTTCCGCAGCGAATCTCCAGCCACAGGTTCTGACGATGAACTCGAGACCACCGGTCCGGAGCCCCTTTGAGATGGCGCTCTTCGATGATGGTGAATGAGGGTTGGACAAATGTTGGATTCCATTTGGGTACAGTTGATATAAATAAATGGTATTTGGGTACTTTATCATATATATATATATCATTTATATCTACATTTTACCAGGGTCTAGTTGGGAAATGAGGAAAATTGCTTTGGTAGACAAGTTGATGGATATTTTACCCTGGTATGGGTATAGCTGATGGATGTTCATGCTATGGCCTAACATTTTCATCTGGCCCACACCATGAGAGACCTCCAGGACCGGCGAATGAACAGCCAGTACTGAAGGTATTTTCACTTTTTAAACATCTCCATTTCTATTGGCTCACCACGTCCCCCCTGATACCCACCTACTTCACTTCACTTCACTACAATTTCACTTCCACTTCATCCCACTTTACTTCCACTTTACTTCCACTTCACTTCCACTTCACTTCCACTTCGATGATATAATTGCTTCATATTCCCCTCTTCTTGGTTCACATCCCGATTTTTGCTGGCGAAGTCTTTATGACTGCTGGTTAAATCCAAATAGTTGCTGGTTAAACACATATAGTTGTTATATATATATATCACACGTTAAATCCCATTTTTTCTAGCTCGATCCGAATTGTTCATGTTGAGATTCCTGTTTTTGTTGAATTTTCTGGTTCAAGTCCAAGTTTTTGCTGTTTAAATCCACAATTCTTCCCATAAAAATCACTCTTTGGAGTAGCATCTCCAGCACCGCTGAGTCCTCCCAGCGATCCTCGCCGGCCCTGCGGCCTCTGGGTTCTCCTCCTCATAGGCAGGGGGTCCATGACTATTTTTGTTACATAAATAGATGTGCTGTATGATATATATCATATATCTATATATATACATACATGTATACATATACATATATATATATATATACTTGTATACATATATATATATATATGTGAGAATGATCTGATCCCAGCAGTCACAATGATAATGACTATTCTTGTCGCTGATGTTTCTTTTTTTTTCTGGACGAACTATTCCACGAAGTCACATCGACTTCACCATAGACAACGCTTTGGATTCGAGGCATCATCTCAAGATACCCTCTGGTTCTTTAATTTAGCTATGCAAAATGGCCCATTTATAGATAATTTATGACGATTTACCTATTGAAAATGGTGATGTTCCAGTTGCAAATCGTTAAATATCTGGAGGGAAATTGATTTCAGATTTGTAAGTTTTGATGATTCAGCCCAGATAAATGACACGATGATCCTGATAGTCATGATTTTACTGACGACAGTATTCATGTTGTTGCTGATGATGATGGTGATGAGAAATTGTGATGATGACAGTTATTATCATTATCACTATTGATATTGCTGTATCTCTCTATATACTATATATATGTATATTACAAGGTATATATATACACATATTATCAGCATTATTATTGCAGTTTTTTTGGAAACATGTGATCTAGGATGATATTCATTTACTTTCCTACCATTCATAATCATCATGATAGAAGTAGGAGTAACGGCAATGATCGTAGTTTCATAGTCATGCTAAGTGTTCATCAATATATAGTTGTATAGATATAGATATACAGCCATGATGATTATATATACACATACATATACATATATATATACATATACATATATATATATATATGTACACACACACACATATATATAGATACATACGTACATACGTACATACGTACATACGTACATACATACATATATATATATGTATGTGTAAAGTAACCCCCTTTTGACCCAACCATGTGATGAATATGTAAAAAGGTAGGTTTCGGGAGGGGGTACTACATATATATATATATGTGTATGTATGTATGTATGAATGAATGTATGTATGTATATATATATGTATGTATGTATGTAATGTAATGTAATGTAATGTCATGTCATGTCATGTCATGTCATGTCATGTCATGTCATGTAATGTAATGTAATGTAATGTAATGTATGTATGTATCTATCTATCTATCTATGTATGTATGTATGTATGTATGCACATGTTTCAGCCTGATGTTCAGCTTGTAATCACCAGGTTTTCCTCCACGGCCCCAGCTTTCTTGGAGCCCTTGGAACCTGGTCGAATCATGTTCCCTGGCGAAATGGTGAGTTTGGATGGAACACTTTGCTGGAAAAGTCATCCCCCAACAAGATGGGCTTAACAAAAAAAACCCATGGGCTTGACGGCTGGCATCGTTGTACTTGCGCAACCCTTGCAGATCCCAAGCCGAACCCCACATGAGCATCAAAAACCTAAAGATTCAACATATGGTCAACAATCACACACACACACATATACATATACATATACATATACATATACATATAATATACATATGTATATAGATGTATAGATATATATATATATTTACACAATTCTGACATACTTATCATAGATGAGTTTTTTGGTGTTATATACACCATTGATGAGTTGGGCACATCCACCCAGGTCGCCTTTGGCCGGTGTGCGACCTGTGACGGTGGCACCCACCCTGCCACCCATGGTGCCAACGGTCAGGACACCCGGACGGCCGTATTTGCATACATAAATGTTATAAATATGTGTATATATATATACTAATACACTCGTGATAGGTGTGTATATACATATATATATATAGACATGTACACATATGTGGTGTACATAAATCTCTATGTGATGTAGTCCAAGGCAATTTACATCAATTTACCCGATTGTAATTGAATTTGATGCGATACAATGCAATGTAATATGATACAAATATACAGTATACATATTATCATATATGCCTTGCACACTTTTGGCCACTTGCAGAAGATACACATTCTTGAATCCACATTTTTTGGTTTCTCCCAGAATTTGTTTAAAATTTAAAGGAACACTGACAGAACATCCCTTCGTTTTGGGGATCCATCGAGGGTTTGAAAAAATGAGTTTCCTAGGATTTTTTCCTCCCAATTCCATTTTCATTTTCATAGCTAAAGAAAAGAGATAGGTTGTCTAAATATAGTTTCTCTTAAACCCATCTAAATCCTATCTATGTTTTGTCAACCAACACGATTTCCCTGGAGAACTTCCTGCAGTCTGAGGCATGGGACAACGACCGAGAGGATCCCACAGCCTTCCAGGTGCGCGAAACTTTGGATGTCATCAGCAAAAATTGGGATTTAAGAAGCAAACTTTGCTGGTGATTCACCATTTGGTGATGGTGATTTTTCACTAACAAAACATGTGAACATTCCTTGTGAACCCATGCAAAACCATAAAACATGTGGGGAAGGCACCAAGACAAATACGAGGACTTGAACATATCAAATAGGATTATGTCTATCAATTGGGTTGGTCTCGAAAAAGGTGGATACCCCAATTGATGGTTACTTTGAAAAGTCAAACTGGATGATGAACACAACAGGATGGAATGGGGGTCGAAATTTTGAGAGGATCCTGTGGCAAGAGGGGTTTCAAGCTGTGGCAAAAGCAAAACATGGGAATGGGTGGAAATCATTCAAATCAAGATTTCGTTGGATGAACATCCACAATTAGTAGCTAACTTTTGGCGTGAAAGCCATAGCTGCTTGCGCGAGCGCGAAGCCTGCCATCACCTTTGAACAGCAAGTCTTGCACCCCGGTGTCTCTTTTGGTGCTGTCAAGTCATCAGGTTTGCTGGATTTCAAGGTGGAGACTGCACAAAGGTATGCAGCCAACAGCCTCGGGTGAGATGCTGGCAGTTCTTGATCCGGATGACTTTGGACAACTTCGGCTGTGCAAGTCTTGACCGCCAAGGTTGGCGTAACCAAATTGCAACACTCGGCTGTGTACCCGTGGCCATCTTGACATATCTTGACATTGTCCGC